TTAATTTTCACCTTTAGCGAAACATCACAGGTATTTCAAAACCTCTGATAAAGATCACCAAAGGCAGAACTAGCCTTTTCAAACCTGCACTCAATTTCTTTGATCATTTTAACATCTTTGGAAACAATGGATCAAATATGGCTGAAGGAGGAAACGGTTTTTAAGACATTTCCTTCAGCATAAACAGTGGAATCAAAAGCTTTTGTTACAGATAGGCTGATAGAAAAGTTTCATATCTTTTTTTTATGCTAATGATCAGACCGAAAGCATTTGATGTACAAGAGATTTTGTTTCATTGCATATACTCAAAGGCTACAAGTACGCAATTGTCTGAAAAGTTTGAGGTAGAATATATATATATATACATATAAATATAGATAACTAGACTCGTTTCGAAAAACCCTCGAATTTTTTATTTGCTAATCAAATCAATCTCGAGGGAAAAAAAGGTTTTAAAAAAAGAAAGAGCTACAAACATGAACTTCTGCCGACAAAAAAATCGCACAGATGCAAGTCTGAAGCCCAAAGAAAAAACCCCGATACAAGTAACAACTAACAAAAGAGCTCAATACAACCGTAGAGCAGACCTAGATACACCTAGTGAGCCAGACAAACCTACCTAGGTTTCACTGGCTCACTAGGTGTATCTATATATATATATATATATAGGAAATTTCCTTCCTAATCTTTTAATGTAGCCTAAAAATGCTCTTTTTTAACAAGAAAATGCATTTTTTCCCAAAAAGATGCGCTTATAGAGTTATCTAGATGGCCACTCGTACTCGATGGTGCTAATAGATATTTGTCAACACCCACAGAGCCTACCAGTGGTTTATACTGGTAGGCTCTTATACTGCAACTATGCTGAGCGAACCTTAGTATATTTAGCTACCACCTCCATGAGGGCTGCATGTGGCACAAGGCCGGCTTAACGTAGGTTCTCCGAGCCCGTAGGCTCGGCCAAAAATATTCGCTTTTGAACTCGAACGAGACTCTGCCCTTCGGTCTAGCTGGAACAGAAGCCAGCTAGCCTGAGCGAACCTTAGTGGAAGAGAGGGTGTTTATATAATTTTAGAGGTGCGTTTTACGTTCCCCATTTATAATCACTGCTACAAAAAGGGCCACTGTGTCAGCTGTGGAAAATACGATGTGAAACATTTACTCTTAAGTCGGCAAAATCCTACTCTCTCTTATTACAATGAACTACATTCTTTGGTTGCGCCAGCTCTGACCTTCACAGCTAAGACCCACCATGCTACATAATAGCAAACCACAGGCATTTCCTCCGTATTCCATTGGTGGGAAGTAAGTTCTACTCGAACAGCTTCTTACCGCGAACCACTGCCCAGGGGAACAGACTCCCAAGAGGATGTTTCCCCAAACACTACAATCTTTACCTGTTCAAATCGATAGTTAACTGTTATCTTCAAGGCCTGTCCGTATAAACTACCCTTTAACGTAACCCCTCTACATTGAGTGGCACCGGGTCTTGTATAGGGTGAACCTTATGGTAAAAAAAAAAAAAAAAAATTACGAGGTAAAACATTCACCCATAAGTTGGCAGTTATTAGAAATTTACAATAGTTTATTTTTGCTATAGGATCCACGTGAAATATTAACAACAAACACTAACTTCTTGATATGAACATTATGTAATACATTTTCATTAGGGATGTTTCTATTTTAAAAACACTGAATCTTGCTTGGTTTTACCAAAAATTACTATAAAGTATAATGTGAGATTTTATTATTAGTTTTTTTTTTTTTTAATGCAAAAAACAATAGGGGGTCACACTATGTGACATTTGTTGTGACCCGGTTGCATTATCCAAGCACATAATTTTTTTTGGGGGGGAAGAGGGTTAAAATTCACGCAAGGAAAAAAAAAAAAAAAAATTAGAACATTATTTACGTTATTCGGACTATTGTCCTCATCTTTGAAATTGCAACATACATGAAGTCTGCTTTATACACAAATATGTATGGTATGTGAAGTGGTTGAAAACTTTTGCTTGGCTATTTTGGGACAATGTCCCATTTCTTCTCATCCAGAACCTTCGCTACAAAATATGATAATCAGGAATGGAAAAAGACTCCAAAAGGGTCAATGTTTCATTTAAAGATTAAGTGATATTTTTTTTTTTTTTTTACAGAATATCAATATTTTGCAGGTTATTTAAAGCCAGAAAATGTTTTTAGATTTTAAGAGTGTTTTTGGAGATAATGATTTACTGATACAAGTCCTACTACCTAACCCATAGCTTGGGAAGGGAAAGGTGGATTATACCTCAGCAACCCTGAATTTTCACTCAGCCAGTTTCAGATCAATTGCTAGGTGTCTCAATGATGTGGTTTTCAGAAAGGGCTAGGCAGATATACCAGATTGCCATTTGTGGTACCTTGGTTTAGAAGAAACAGCTGCATATGCCTTCTATCACTGTCATCTTGTGTGACCTTTCTGGGATTGTCAGTGAATGGCAAGGATGGTGGTGTGGACGATGCAGATGGGGGGGGTTCTTACAATAGAAATCATTATTCTCATCAGGATCTAGTTAAATTCTTTTCAGCATTTCAGGATGAAGTTCAGAACTGATAGAAAGTGTTTACTATTGGCAGATTTCCATGAAAGGAGAATAAAAGTCACGAGACTTGTTTGTGTGAACAGAGTCCAGCCTCGATTTCCTTTTATTAGTTTCCTTTGACATAATAGGGTGGTTTCTTGACGGACAACTCCCTGAGTTAAGCTAGACTCTTCGTTCTCCTCTCATGTGAGTAATTGGTGTTCTCTTTTGTTATAGTGCTTGTCAAGATTCTCAATCTCCCGTTTGTTTTTACTATAACCGGGTAAGCTTTTGATTTTCCCACTACACAATTTTTCTCCTTCCCTCACCATTAGTGAGTGAAGGTCTTGATTTTGATTATTGGCAGAATACAACAGCCATTCCTATTTTTGTACAATGGGCAGATCCAAAAGTTTTGGTAAAATATTTTTTTTTTTTTTTTAATTCTTGCTATTGGGGAGCACCCTTCCCTCATTTTATGATTCATAATTTTTATCACACACATTATATATATATATATATATATATATATATATATATATATATATATATATATGTCCAAATGTCCATAAATTTTTACATCATAGGGTTTTAGTAGTTTCCCATGAGTATGTGTTATTTTGGTAAATGTAGGATTGGGTAAAGAGCGATGTGTTCTTGTAGTGAATAAGTAAATTGTAATGTATGAATGGGTTGTGAATCCTATTAGCTCTGTTGTTTAGGATAATCAATGACAACCAGCCTCACCCCATTTCCCCTTTGTTCTTGTGCCAAAACTGTATGTAAAAAATACAATATACACATTTTCACTATATTTTTTTTCTTTAATGAAAGTTATTAAGAAAGAGGGAATTATTATGATGTCTTATGTTGTAAACCCATAAGGAAGTAGTGCCCATTTATTGATGAGACAATAAAAAGCAACATTTTTCCAACCAAACTCTTGGCTCAGAAGAGAAATATTAGGTTGGTGCAAAAAGTTGAACGTCAAAAATCGACATTATTTTTGCACCAACCTAATAGAAAGATGCAAACCAGTTTCTTCTAAAATTATTAAAATAAAATAACAACAAAACATTTCTGGAGGTGTTTTGTTTTTTTGTTTTTTTTTAAAGCATTTTTATTGTTTTTGGAAAATTTGTTCAAATTTTTATTCATTTTTCCCCAAAAATTTCAAGACATTTAATTCAATTGGGGAATTTATTTTTAAAAAATTTTTTTTTTTTTTTTTTTTTTTTTAAAGTAAAAAGTTTTGCTTATTTTTCATTTTTTTTTCTCATAAGAAAGAGAGAGAAATGAACAAATACAGTAAATAAAATAAATTAAAAAGTTGAAAAGGAAAAACGAAATGAGGGTGTAGGGAGAGGAGAGAGAGAGAGATTATAGACACTGTCGTCATATCTTATAGGGCTGACAGAATGTAGGAAGGTATTTTTATTTATTTATTTTTTTTAATCATTTTCATCTTCCCATGACACCATGATGCAGACCCCATAAGATCAGACAGATGAAGGAGATAAAAAATGAAATACTTCCAGAAGATGGGTGAACAAGGGCCGGGTAAAAAAATAAAAAAAAAAAATAAAAAAAAAAATAAATAAAATACTTGTTATGGATGGAGAGTTTTTTTGTTTTTTTTCAAGATGTCACAAGAACAAATCCAAAACTCCATGCCAAAGATGTTTGATTGAAGGTAAACTTAATTCTCATAAATAAAAACTGAAAGCTGTGTGTATGTGTGTGTGTGTGTGTCATTTGGAGCTAATGGAGAGTACGCTGTGAATAATAATAACAATAGTAGTAGTAGTAATAAAGGCTAAGATGAAGGTACTGTGAAGTGGAATTTAAACAAGATTGGGATCCAACTAAGAGAAATAACTTGTATTGGTTTAAAATTTAAAAATCTTACAGCAGTTACTTTATCCAATTACTATTATTCATTCACACAAAAAGCTCGACATGGCCAATTAGTTCATTTCCGTGATGGATAGAGTGGGATATATATATATATATATATATATATATATATATATATATATATATATATATATATATATATACACACACACACACACAGCTGAAGACAAAAGCAGTATTCTATAATTTGCAATTCCTACATATGAAAATTGAGATTACTAAAATTGTAGTGTAAGTAGTTGGATTGATTGATTTTTTTTTTTTTACAGCTTATCAACCTTTTTTGCAGGTTATTTAAAGCCAGAAAATATTTTTACATTTTAAGATTTTTTTTTAGGGAGGAGGAATAATGATTTACTGATTAAAGTCCTACTAATTAACCCATAGCAAGGGGGAGAAGAGGTGGATTCATGTCTTCCGCAAGGGTATTTGTGCATAAGTGAATATAATAAACCCTTCAGAAATTGCAACCCAGCACACCAATTTCAAGCCATTATCCATTACACCATTTGTAAATCCAAGCTTACAGCACTTGGTATTCCCAATTAGTCACCCAACTAGGTATTGACCAAGCTTGATGTTGCTTAACTTCAGTGATCATATGCAAACTGGAGCTTCAGTGTGATATGGCCATAAATCAGAAGATGGTTGAAAGCTGAAACAACTGCTTTGGAAGAATTTTTACTGTTTTGTTATCTAGAAAAGGTGTGTCAATCTCATTTCACTTTTTGCTATAAGAATCCAGTGGCGGAGTGGAGTGGAGGGGGGGGGGACAATGACTGAAGACATCTTTAGGTTGAGATTTTGGAGAGATCTTGTGCTTTGGGTGTACAGAAAGAGCAAGAGGAAATGGGAGATTTGGGAGCTTCTGGTTTTGAAATTCAAGTAAAACTTTCAATGGGTATAGAGTCAAAACAAACATATTCACAGTAGAAATATGAAATCTTGCCGAGTTGGCTGATAATCCCTTTCGTAGTCTTTCGGTGATTTTATTTATAGTTTCATACTGTGAACACAATTCATCAATAATGGTTTGTGATTGAAGAGATACTAAACAAAAAAGGAAAAAGTTAATATCAGTGAATTGCTTGATGACAGTCATCTACACAGAAGAGATCATCGTTTCTAGGAAAAAGGCCAAGTAACAAGATCTGATATTTTTGTTCGTTCTTAAAACTGGGGATTTCCTAATATGGTATTGTAAAGCCAACAGAATTTGCAAAAACTTATCTTAAATGCAATATTAAGAATCTGACATTGGAGAAAAAGTAGATGTTATACAATTAGGAAACTAAAAGGATAAATCAGTCAACTAAATTACAAAAAAAAAACAAAAAAAAAAACTAATAAAAAGAGAAATTTACTGATATGGAAAAAAAAAAATCAAAAAAAATCAAGCAACGGAACCAATAGGAAAATAAAATGGATACTGTTTCTATTGTTATTTAAATAAAAGAGCAAAGTCACAATGTCATGTTGAAATTAGTAAGTTAAGAGAAACAAAGAAGTTCTTAGACAAGATGGAACTAATATCTGGAATACCAGGATTATTTTTTGTGTGTGTGTGTGTGTGTGTGTGTGTGTGTGTGGAGATTATATAAACATGAGAAACTGAAATCTTCCACATTAAACAAATGGCTAAATGGAAAGGAGCAGGAAGGTGGCTGCTGCCCAGGAGCTTCTGAAGTCCTGACCTGACAATCTATGACTTATCTGTGGGTGTTCATGAAGGAAACACAAAGAGTAAAGCAGTTCTCTAAAGATGATGAGGTGAATTTGCATATGAGTTAGAAAGCAATGAAGAAACTTCTACGAGGTAGTTGTATATATCTTCATTCAAAAGGTGGAAAACCACGATTGAGAAGGAAGGAGACTTGAGAACTAGATTTAGAATACAGACCTTTGAGTTAGTTTTGGTACACTTTGTGTTTGTACTATTAAACATGTAATTAAAGAACAAGAATAATTTTTAGCAATACTCATGCACACACTGCTTTATTATTAGAAAGAGTGTTAGCTAACCAGTCATGGCTGTCAGTTTCAGAAACATATATGCCGAGATGTACAATCAACAGATGATCAATATAGCTCCTTAGAGGGTAAGTTTACTTACCTAAAAGTATAAAAAGTATATATAAACACCCACACATTATATATATATATATATATATATATATATATAAGATGCAAGACTCCAAAGCTACCCCAGGAGTAAGTCTGCAAGAGCCACTTTGAACTCACAAGACATTTGAAAACACACAATGATCCTCCACCTGAGAGGACGAACCATTAAGACTGATAAAACTGATTTAGTTTACAGTCTCTCACGCCAAACACTGTAGGTTCTTGCCGGCTTCAAGAGTCAATGTCTACCTCAATTTCAGAGAAACATTCAGTGTTATAAGTCAACCTGTCAGCAATGGTCATGCTTGTCAAGCAAGTAGACATACACACACACACACACACATATATATATATATATATATATATATATATATATATATATATATATATATGGGGTTGGAAAAAAACTCCCTGTTGAAATTAAGTGACTTATAAGTTTTGTTAATATAGCCACATTTGTACAAGACAAAATATATTTTAATCCCAAAAATGGTAGAATTTCATTGCTAATTTCCATTTTTATTTTAGAGTGACAACTGTAGCTCAGAATGGCACAACACCCGACACTACAGTAGTGTGTGGCAGTCTGTGGTACACGTGCAGAGATGGTAGCACAGTGTTTATAGACCTTGTGTTTCAGTAGATGCCAAAACCATCAGAAATTGTCATTTTAAGCTGATGAATATGGGATCTGTGATAGATACTAACAGAAGCAGTTGTCCTTCAACATCCAGATTAGAAGAAAATTTGCAAAAGGTACAGGAAATTTTCAAGGATATACCCAGATGAATACAAACACTGGTGGACAATGCTGGTGCCTATGTAGAATTTTATCTGTACTGTACTTCTACCATTGTTCAAAATAAAACAGGTTTTATGAAAATCAACCAATAATTAAGTTAACAAGATAAGTTTAAATTGACACACATGATCCAGTGCTCCTACTATTTATTTAGAGATTCTTGATAAAATCCAAAGAAGAATCAGCAATATTACTGATCCTGACCTGGCATCTCAGCTTCAGCCACTTTCCCATTGCCGTAAAGTTGCTTCCCTGTGCCTTTTCTATAAATACTTTTATGGTAATTGTTTGGATGAGCTCTTCACTATGGTACTTAGACTTTATGAATTTAAGCGCAGAACTAATTAGCAATGAGGTCTCATCAATTCACAGTTGAACTAGCTAGATCTAACCATAGGTTCTATGCTGACAGTCTTTTCTTACACTGCTTGCTTGTGGAACTCTCTTATGGCTCCATGGTTTCCAGCCAACTTTGATCTTCAAAAATTTAAATGCAATATCAGGTGTTATCTATTGTCTTCCTGATTACACTTCTATTGTTTTCACTCTTCATGTTTTCGACTTTCTAATTCTTTCATACCAGGTAATCTTGTGTCTCAGTGGCTTTACTAATTTGCTTGGGGTAAATTCAATTGAGAAAAAAAAAAAAAAAAAAAAAAAAGAGTTTCTTTCCACTCACCTGGTGTGGGAGGGAGAGAGAGGATAGAAAAGAGAAGCAGGATAGAAAAGAGAAGCAGGAGGGAAAGGAGGAGATATAAGGGAGAGAGGAAAGAGAACAATCATCAAACAGTCTTTTGCACTAGAAAACCAAATTGCAATCCTCAGAGGAAACCTAAAATTTGTTATATAATTAGTATTAATAATAAAAATAAAATTCTATTTAGGAAATAATCAACTGATGACAGTTAATGAAAACCAGTAAAATGTGTTTTTACATATTTCAACTAGAAGGAAACTGTGCATTTGGAAAAAGAGACTTATGACTGAGCCTGTATCAACTTTTGCAGATGGAAATGAAAACGACAGCTCAATTACAACATGAGCACATGCATCTTAAAGATTGCAATTGTACTAGGAAACAGAAGATGAATTTTAAGTAAAAAATTAAATTTACTTTCTTATCATATTCTAGTAAAATAAAGATTGTTTTATTTCAATTGAAACTTTTCAGAGATAAAGTTTACCCAAATGTTCAGACTTCACTCTATCCCTTCTAATTTGAAGAATTACTCAAAATGGGAATTGGGGGTGGGGACTTACATTTAACAAAATGTCAGATTTGTTAAAAATGAAAGCTTACAACAATGCAGAAATAAAAGTTAAATTTTTGTAAATACTTTTGGAAAAAGAATTTGTGATCATAACAAAAAAGTAATTTTAAACAAACTCATCTTAATGCTGTTTATACTCCCCAAAAGGCAAGAAAGTCTTGTTTCTAATGGTGTAAACTTGGGGTATGAGGAAATGGGGGTAGAGAAGAGTTAGCCAGTTAGGAGTTAAATATATTCTTCCACCCCCTTTTTATTTCAGAAAGTGGTGGTTGTTCCAGAGAAATTGGGTGGTGGATAATTTCCATTTTGTGCTTGAAGATTTCACTTTTCTAAGGGATACAAAGATTGAGAATTTAACAATATTATTGACACAAGGAAATTAAAGAGCAGGGTTTTTATAGCAATCCTTTTAAGATTATCATCCACTTCAATGCTGGTAACAAAGTATTAGGTGTCGTCCACAAAAATTTAGGGAAAACAAGCATGGATTTAAGGTTCATTCCAACATGTCAAAAGGCTTAAAAAAAAAAAAAAAAAAAAAAATTGCTGGAGCTACCAGCTGGAAGGATCTTTTATGATTTAAATAAAAGTTAGAGATTTCTATTGATAAGTACAAGAAAATGGCTGTGAGTGTGTATGGATGCCATAACAATTTACAAATACATGGTTCTGATTAATCATCGTATCAATGAACTGGGTTTGATATTCTCTATTTTGGCAAATTGTGAATGAATTGAGAGATAAGGAGAAATATTACATGGCTGGTCACAATAGTAATTCAGTTTACCTTGTGCAAAAGGAATTGGAGCAGATATTTGTACAAATGAGAGAAAAGCTAGTTAGGGAAATCCTGGTTGAAAACAATAAGCCTTTGGGAATTGGAAGTAAGGAAGAAAAGTTCTGTTTTTTTTTTTGTTTTTTTTTTAAAGAGGGGGTGGGGTGAGAAAGGTTAATGAAATTGAGCACAATTTATCAATAACAATTTTGTTGAACAAGAGTTAACAAACAAGCCAGATTTTGTGCGTAATAAGTGCAGTTTTTCTTTTTTTTTTGGAGGGGGTGATGGTGGAGGGAAATTTGGTTTTCTCCTCCAACACCACTTGCTAAGGTAAGCAAAACTTTTTTTTTTTTTTAAACTTCTTTCTTTGCCATCTCTACAAAAATACATTGACAATACAATAAAAGAACATTTTACATAAGAGTTGTTGACTAAGTTAAATTTTTTGTTTCATTTAAATTTATTTTTGTTTATTCTTTTATCAATTTGCATCTAGTTCAAAGACTAGAAACCAATGTCCATTCCACTCTCCTCTCGACAAATCAAATCTAAAAGCTAAAGTTCTTTTCTGTGTTATTACAAAAAAAAAATGAAAAAAAAAAATGTCCATATTTACTTTAAAAATTACTTATATTGACATCTAAAATAGAAGCATGGAG